AACTTTTCACAATGCAGTAGCTCCTACTGTGTTCGAATAAAGTCAAAGCCATTCAAGAATAGGTCTTGGCCTGGAGCTCCTGGGTGGCATAGTCGGTTAAGTGCTCGACTCTTGATTTCGGCTCAGGTCCTGACCTCAGGGTTGTGAGACTGGGCCCTACGTAGGGCTCCACACTCAGCGGGGAGTCTGTTAAAGTTTCTCTCCCCCGATGATAGACTCTGAAAAACAAACTGAGGGTTCTAGCGGGGAGGGGAGTGGGGGGATGGGTTAGCCTGGTGATGGGTATTAAAGAGGGCACGTTCTACGTAGAGCACCGGGTGTTATGCACAAACAATGAATCATGGAACACTACATCACAAACTAATGATGTAATGTATGGTGATTAACATAACAATTAAAAATTTAAAAAATAAATAAATAAATATGAAAAAAAAGTTTCTCTCCCCCTCTTCCTCTGCCCCTCCCCGCACCTGCTCAAGCTCTCGCAGGCTCTCTCTCCCTTGCTTGCTCTAAAATAAATAAACCTTAAAAAAAAAAAAAAGGACTAGGTCTCAGCTTACCTTTTTTTGCCACACTTTGCACCTGCTCCCCACACCCTTCCTTACTTCATGTACCAGCCAAGAGAACCTGTCAGGCTCCATCCTAAAGGCACAATGCCCACTCTCGCCTCCAGGTGCTTGTGTAGGTTATTCCTTCTGCCTAGCTCCCCACCCCCCACAAATTCTCATCTGAGCAATATCTATTCAATATTCAGATTTCAGCTTAAAATACCAAATCCCCTATGAGCCCCTGAGGTCAGCGCTGAGTCAGGCACCTTGTGCTCTTACACAAAGCTCTACACATGACCTCTCCTAGAATATTGCAACTGCCCATCCCCTCATCTATAACCCCTCTGGGAGACTGCAGACTGCAAGCTAGGGGCTGCTCAACTAGAAACCGTGGCCCTGGGGGCCTATACAGTGTCTGGCATATAGTAAGAACTCAACAAAGACAACATGATTAAAACAATCACTAAAACTTAAAATTAGGTAAGGGGAGCCTGGGTGGCTCAGTCGGTTAAGCATCCAACTCTTAGCTCAGGTCTTGATCTCAGGGTACCAGGTTTAAGCCCCATACTGGGCTCCATGCTGGGTCCAGAACCTACTTTAAAAAAAAAAAAAAAATTTAAATTGTATAACTAAATGGGATAAGGATCTGCCTGAGCATTACCATGACTCCTTTAGGATTGAAATCACAGAAATACAGTAATTAAATGACTTCAAGGGAACTTTCTTGAAAATAATCAACTTGTGTTTTGTTGAAATACTTCAGAATCCCCAAAACAAGGATAAAATTCAGGCTGCTACCTTTTTTTCTGCTGCCCATACACATACATGCAACTATTCAAAAGGGTAAAGAAAATATATGCAACTATTGAAAAGGTACTAAAATCTTGATATTCTTATCCTAGTAATCTAATGCAATTGTGATATAGAAACAAAAATTTCTTGAGGAAACAGAAGTACCAACCTTATTTAAAATAAATAAGAATGTCTTTATGCCATATCTTCTTCTCAAACCAGATGACAAAAATACATACAACACAAGTAAATAAAAAAAATTTAAAGTCAAGAAATCTCAACAGAAAAAAAGCACCAGAGTAGAAGATAAATTTAGAAATGAGGCTGGGACACAAACTATATGCTTCACCGTTCTGCATATTTGCAAATGAGGGGTCCAAAATGTGGCTCTCTGCTTATTGGTGATCACATTGACTGCGTCACGTGAATACCAATAGCCTTGTCTTGCCACACCTTATAGATGACATTTCTCACATATTCTATCTGTACCATCTTTCTTTGGATACTTCTAAAATCTCAAGCTCATGGTTTTTTTGGGGGGCGGGGTTTAGACTTTTTTATTTATTCATTTGACAGAGACAGCACAAACAGGGGGGAGGGGCAGAGGGAGAGTGAGAAGCAAACCCCTTGCTGAGCAGGGAGCCTGATGCAGGGCTCGATCCCAGGACCTTGGGATCACGACCTGAGCCGAAGGCAGATGCTTAACGACTCAGCCACCCAGGTGCCCCTCATGCTCATAGTTTTAATTATTCAACTCTTCAATTTAGATGTTTTTCTTTTAAAAAAATATCCACAGCAAACACTCTCTAGGATCATATTTCCTTTCCAGTGACAAGCTCATAACTGCCATCTTCCTGCCAGGGTGCGGTTCATGATCCTAAGGTGGCAATGCCATACCTGTCACAGAAGGTAATGCCAAACTGCTTCTTCTTAAGTATATTTTACATCAGACCAGAAAGTTACATGCATTTAAAACTGTGATGGGGCACCTGGGTGGCTCAGTTGGTGGAGCATCTGACTCTTGGTTTAGGCTCAGGTCATGATCTGAGGGTCCTAAGATCGAGCCCTGCTTCAGGCTCCACACTCAGCAGGGAGTCTGCTTGAGATTCTCTCTCTCCCTCTGCCCATCCCCCTGCTTGTGCTTGCTCTCTCTCTTAAATAAATCTTAAAAAAAAAAAAAAAAATTTTTGACAACCCCTTTTTTTTTTTTTTTTTACATAAAATAAGGTCACTACTGTGAAAATTTTGTGCTAGGATAAAATCAAGTTTTGCCTTCACCCATCTTTCAATCACACACCAACAGCTTCAACTGTAGGCAAAAGAGCCTAACATCAAAGCACATTTTGATTCACTCTAGAACACATCTTTTCCAATTCCTTCTGCTCTACCAAGATTTATGTACAAAAGCTGGAGGCTGCTAGCCTCCAAACTTCAGTAGAGGCACTTGGAATAATACAGTGAAGCGGACTGTTCAGCTGCTTAAAGTGGATCCCATGAGCCTGCCTCCTGGAGGCATTTGCGGCTTTACATACTTGAAAATGAATAGAACGGGTCAAAGGACGCACCTGAGGTCTGCATTAGATAGAAGCTGGGAGTTGCGGGGAGGGGTGGGGGGTGGGGGGGAGAATGAGTAAGAAACAGAGAATGGACTAAAGAGACATAGTAAACCTTACTTTAAAGGTCTGACAGCAATTAACTGAAAGATACTTGCACCAGTACATGTGCTACCATGCTATTTAAATAGTGGCAACATCAATTTATTTATTCACTGTTTTTCTAAAATCACATACCAGTAACTGTATGCTTCCTAACCACTCACTATTCACATTTACTTTGAAAAACCACCTGTGCTTAAAACTCAAGAGCTAGTGTAACTAAGACTTTTTTTAAAACATTAGGGTTCTTTTAATAGCAATAACAACCATCTCTGTCATTACTTTTTGGCCCTTCACAAGCTATGATAACTAATATTTTCAATGCTTAACGCCTGCTTTTATTTGCCTAACCTATGTAGCTATCAAAGAACTGAGATAGTCACTATTTCATTTGAAACTCATAAACAACCCTGTCAACAAATAATATAATTCCCATTTTATAGGAAGGAAACACAGTAGCCACATCACAAATAAAAACACACATGTGTGCACTGTTTTAGGCGTGTTTATTTAATGATTAAGGGGGTGACGATGTCATTTGAAATACATTTCATTCCTTCTAGATCAAATCCATCGGAACAAATCCAGAGCCATCCAACTTCCATACATTCAACACAAGAATGTGTTCATGATTGCCTCAGTAAATCCTGAACTTCATAATCTCAAGCCATTTTTTTTTTTTTTAGATTTTATTCATTTATTCATCAGAGAGAGAGAGAGAGAGAAGGAGAGAGAGCACGCATAAGCAGGGGAAGTGGCAGGCAGAGGGAGAAGCAGGCTTCCCGCCGAGCAGGGAGCCGGATGCAGGACTCAATCCAGGACCCTGGGATCACGACCTGAGCCAAAGGCAGACGCTTAATGGACTGAGCCACACAGGTGTCCCTCTCAAGACATTTCTAACACATCCCAACAGAGCAACTAAACAACCAAAAATTTTTCAGAACACAAAGATACCTTGGCAATTATATAAAAACTAAAGGACTCTAGTCTTTATGGGTATTGCTAGGAAAATTACACATCTCAACATTTTCATTTCTTGAGAGTTGCCACTGCTCGAAGCATGCAAATTTCAGCAAATTTGACAAGAAAAAAAAAGTCATAAAAATTCCTCTATCCTGTGAAGCAACAGCACCCCAGAAGTGGTTCATTTTCAAATACTATCCATCAGTAATAGCCTTCTCTCACAACAGACAACCGTAACAAATTTAGCTGACTTCAGTATTGGTCCAAATAGAGCTAACGCACCAGAGGTGTCCATCTCCTACAGACTCAAGTAAGGCTCACCATTTTTTTCAGCTTGAGTTAAATGAAAGAAAATGCAATTCATATTTCCAGAAGCAAAAGTGGCATATTTTCCAGTAAGCTTCTTGTTCTCATTTTACTATTTTAAGAGGTCTGATCACTCCCAGCATTGCTGTGTGGCAAGATCTCATTTCTGGTGGCTGATCATTCCATGGCCCGATGCTTTACCAAAACCGTCTCCAGAAGCTGTTTTGATTCATATTTAGCTTCAGCGTATTTATACACAAAATACCATTTCAATGGCGTCGTGCCAAAAAAGAAATAGCTTGCTCGGATTTCAGTTGACTTTGTTAAAGGAAATTATTTTAAATTAATGTGGCTATTGAACTGCTGCCATTCTTAACCTCAGAAAATATATTCCTTCTAATTTTTGCTGTGAACGTTTATTTAAGTTAAATTCCAGCTCGTGAATGTTGACCATAAGGAGTCTAAACCTTCCTGCTACTATTTCATATTCTTCTTCTAAACAAGGGCAGGCACATACTGGCCACATTAGTATGCAGAGCCAGATCGCCACCATTAAAGGAAATCATCTATGTATTTTTGGTAGAATCTTTAACAACTTCCACGCCCGTCATAGGAATGGAACAAGGCTGTTTTGTTTTCAGACAGCAACAATTTGATCTCTGGTTTACTAGATGGCGCTCAAAATATTTTTCCATATGTTTTTCCACAAAGAGAATCTGGCATCAGCATGGTTTACCTTTACCAGTGAATGCAGGCTTTTTTCACCAAACATATCCCAAAGGAAGGTCAGGTCTTCCTGGCTATCCACATGTGGCTGCAGCTGGGCTGGCAAAGCAGTCAACAGCTCATACAGACCTATAAAATGAAAATAAAACACAAAGCGTAATCTTAGAGTGATCTCATTAATTTCACGTAAGGTGTGTGTAAATGACAGCTGCAACATGCCGTTTATATTGGATCTGTATTCTAGGCCATCAAGCAAAACCCTTCTCCCAAGAAGCCAACGAAACTTTTTGATTTTTAAATCCCAACCAAGTATGTATTAACAGGCTAGTTTTTACCTTTCGGTTGTCAACATTCTACAGGCATCCAAGTTTACATAACCTGAGACAGAAAATGTGTACGAGCTTTCAGAGAAAGAAGAAAACGCATACATTCCTTTCCTTAATCGTTATTACATTTCCCTCGATGTTTGCCAAAGAGTGAAATGAGTCATGAATAGAAAAAACTTCCTTAGAAGAGCAAAAAATTGATAGAGTGGTCCATTAAAAAAGGTTTTGTGGTTTCCAAGTAGTTCCTAATAATATATAGCTTCAAAAACATTTGCATTATCTAACAACCAAAATCAAGTTCTAAAAAGTAAGACGGATTCAACCATCCTTGGTGTTGCTTCACTGTAGTCGCCTGGTTTTAAAACAACAACAACAAGCTACACAGAACTGAGTTTCAACTGGACTCTGCTCTGGGCGTATGTGATACCCTCTGAAAGAGTTAAGGTAAAAGATGCGGGCTACTCGGAGCGCTCCTCACTAGAAGCTTCCCTGGGGTAGACAGTAGCGCCATGTTCCACAGTAGCTGACTGCAGAAACCATCCATCTCCTTCAGGAGCCATCAGACTCCGGTCCAAGAAAGGTTGCGACAGCGCCTGCCCAGGACTCTTCAGGGAGGTGACCTGGCAGGAGTCAGTATCAACTCTTAGCACATGTTTCACTTTCCAGGGGGATTACATGAGGTAAAAAGGACAAAATTCCTTTCATTTCTGTCTGCTGTCTACAAAAACACCGAGACCTCCTGGGATCTACAACACACAGGGCTGTTGTTATTCCTATGCTGAGTAAGTGCAGTTGTTCATCAGAGGGACAGCTTTACAAGATACTTAACTAGCAAAGAATTGTAAATTATGGCCTGCTGATTAGTGTATCTATTATCTTCCAAAAGCATTATAATATTCTGATAATCAGTGATAATTCGCAACCAAATGTATTAGCTCTCGCTTGGAAAGTTGGATCTGTAACTTGAGAGTTTAGATTAAACTCAAACATTCCTGGGACTGCATTTGACCAAAAAGATCTATAATATTCTAGGAACAAAGAAAAAAACTTCTCCCTATTCCGTTAAGTATTCTTGATGGTTTATATTTACTCCCTTAAAAACCTGGCATCTTGCCTAAACTAGCTTTTATAAATTTGTAAAAACATTTTTTATTAACATATAATGTATTATTTGTTTCAGAGGTACGGATCTGTGATTCAATAGTCTTACACACTTCACAGCATCACCATAGCACATACCCTCCCCAATGTCCATCACCCAGGCACCCCATTCGTCCCAACCCCCACCACTCCAGCAACCCCCAGTTTGTTTCCTGAGATTAAGTCTCTTATGGTTTGTCTCCCCCTCCGGTTTCGTCTTGTTTCATTTTTCCCTCCCTTCCCCTATGATCCTGTCTTGTTTCTCAAATTCTTCTTATCAGTGAGATCATAATTGTCTTTCTCTGACTGACTTATTTCACTCAGCATAATACCCTCTAGTTCCATCCACATTGTTGCAAATGGCAAGGTTTCATTTTCTGATGGCTACATAATGTTCCACTGTGTATGTATGTATATATATATATATATATATAAACATTTTTAAGGTGTCCGAACCTAATTCAATGTATAATAATACAGGTCTCACTTTACACATATACATATACACACACATTTAAAGTAATGACAATTGCCAACATCTGTGGTTAAAGTCAGAGGTTCAAGTTGAAAATTATGTGAAAAGAAGGCAGAGTTTCACTGTTTTATATTGACTTCAAGAACAGTAAAAATGATTCCTTACTCCTTGGTAATATGATTAGTTTAATAATACTAATTTGACTATAATATAATTTATAAGGTATAATTGTTGTGGGGGTTAAATGAAGTAATGTATTAGAACAGCCCCTGGCACATGGTAGTCTGTTTCAGATGTAACACAGTGAGCTTCAGCCATTGTTGTTATTATTACTGTTATTCATCATTACCATTCTTTGTTTAAAATTTATTCATTTCAGAAAGGGGGAGGTAGGCGCAGAGGGAGAAAGAGTCTTAGGCAGACTCCCTGCTGATCATGGAGCCCAATGTGGGGCTCAATCTCATGATCCCGAGATCACGACCTGAGCCAGAACCAAGAGTTGGATGCTCAACCAACCACCACACCACCCAGGTACTCCCATCACTACTATTATTAAAAAAGCAAAAGTCTGAGTCAAACAGACCTAGATTCAAACCAGGTCTATACTTCAGTTATTTCACATAACTTAACCTCAGCCTTGTTGCCCTCATCTTTTCGAAAAGAAATGGTAATCTGCACATGTAATAAAATTGAACAGAAAAAAATATACAAACATGTACGTATACACAAAGAAGTGCATGTGATACAGGGGGAAATCTGAGAAAGGGTAATGGACTGCATCAGTGACAATGTGCCCCTTGCAATTACTATGGTTATGCAAGATGTTACCACTGGAGGAAGCAGGGTCAAGGGTACACAGGATCTACATTATTTCTTTGAACACAGGAATCCACATTATCTCAAAATACAGTTAAAACCAAAGGAGACATTGTGGTAAATGTGATTGTTATAAGAATTCAAGGGAACAATGCACATAGCAGCACTGAGCCCTGTGGCTGGCACTCAACAGGCATTTGATAAATAAATAAATATATACACACATAAATATGTTCTTCTTTTCTTAATATGCCTCATCTGGAATGAAAACCCTATTGCAATGGTACAAAGTCAAAACAACAGCTTAGTGATACATTCCCCTGGACCCAATACCATACTCAGAAAGAAAACCACCCTAGTCTTTTACATATGGAAAATGTCACCTTTACCCAAGTACTGCTTAACTTTTTGTGGGAATAAATCATATTATCTTACATTACAATAATAATTTCTCTGTTAGCAGTAGCTCATAAACCTGAGTTTTCTGGGTTTTCCAAGCTTTATGCAATCGTAATTCGTATGCCCCCCCTAGCTTGGCACCCTCGTGACGACAGCAGTCACTTCTCTTGAGCTCCCACATCTCGTAGCCCCACCAAAGCCAGAAGAGACAGGACAGTGCCAATCAGAAATGAAAGAGGCTGAGAAGAGTTAGGAGGGCGGGCGAGTGGCCTCAATGCAGGTAACATGGCCCACCACATCCACTCAAGTGCGTCAGAGAGACCCCAGAAACCAGCTCAGTCCATGGCTAAAACCAGGTCCCTGTTCTCACAGGGGCTTTTTATATTCAGTTCCTAGAGTTCCAACAGTGAACACCACTATGAAATCCAAATGGTTTGGGTCCTTGATATTCAGAGAGCAAGTAACAGAATTTAGCTAACGAGGGTTATCTTGGACAATCTTACCTACATCTACCTACATCTATTGAATCTTACCTAAATCTGAGCAAGAACTGGGACTACACTCCTCTGTAGTCATTCAAGCTCACGAGTGCTTCATTCCAGTAAACCATTATGGTACCTACCTAGAGGTCTAAGACAAATCAGCCATGATCCCTGTCCTCAGGACGTCACAGTGTAGAGAACAAGCACAGACAGGTCGGTTAGGAAGTGCAGAGCAGGGTTAGGCTGCATGGCAAGGCAAGGTAAGTGGTCAATTCCTCTAAAGGAGGGAGAAGACATCAGGGAAGGCTTCAGCAAAGAATCACACCTGAGTTACATCTTGAAAGCTTCCACTCCTAAGAATCAGCATTTATGAGTTCTTCCATTCAGAGCACTACATTAGTTCCTCTATACAAGTAGGTGGAGAATATGCCACCACCTCTACCCCAGAGATCTTACATCTTGGATAACACAGAATACATAGCATATATGCTCAAAGAGAAAGCAATCCTATTTATAATGATCTCCTGTTTGGGGCGACTGGGTGGCGCAGTCAGTTAAATGGTTGACTCTTGGTTTCAGCTCAGGTCGTGATCTAGGGATCATGAGAACCGGCCCCGCATCAGGCTCTGTGCTCAGCGTGGAGTCAGCTTGAGATTCTCTCTCCCTTTCCCCCTCCCCCCCCACCACTCTTGTGCACACGCACTCGCTCTCTCTCTCTAAAAAAGTCTTCAAAAAAAAATAATAATAATGATCTCCTATTTGTCCAAGTAAAGATTCAAAATGTATATTCCTCCAAGTAAAATAAACAGATGTTTAGGCTGTGGATAAAATATTCAAACAGCAAACTAATTTTCACGGATGTTGTGAGATGCCCATGCCGGCTTATAGTATTTAAATTATAATTTGGTTAGGAACACACTCTTTTAATTACCTATTAAGTACAAATATCGTAATTTAGATATTTGGGGTTTGCCCCACTTGCACATTTCATGCAACCATTTTATTTAAATTCTTCACAATGACTTCTTTATCACAACTACCACTTGCAGAGCTGGAAGAGATCATTTTCACTTCTAGTTATTTGAGATACAACACTTTTCTGAATGCATGGGAGATGCCTTCACTAAGAATCTGGGTAAAGCTGAGTGCTTTTCCACCTGATCTACACCTCTATGTTTTTATCTCCACACCAAAACCACTTACCTACTCTCTAAGTATCTCTAACACTCGCAGGTCTGAGGTTTTTAACCCCTCTCCAAGAAATATTAACCCAGTTTAAACTTCCTTGTCTCTTTAAAAACAACAACAACAATTCTGTCAGATGATCTTTCAACGACTCCAGAAACAGGAACTTGGGTTATATGAGAATAATTAGGGCTTCTCCAATCAACACATTTTTATGTAAGTAACAGAGAAAACGGTCTATAAGAAATTTTGTAAGGGCCTGACTATAAGGCAGCTCTCTCTTCTCTAAGAGATCATTTTAGTAGTAGAAAAGAAATCTCACCTTCTGTTTAGGTAGACATGATATGAGACATGGTCAGACACACATGAAAAAATTATCTCATAAAAATGTTCCAGCAGGAAAAAAGGCAGTATTTTTGTATTAGGGATTTTATATACTGAGAGAAAAGAAGGCAACAACAGCAAAACTAAAATACAAAAGGTTCGTTTGATTAACATGTACAACAATTATAGCAATTTAAAGGAGAGGGCAATCAGTAAAGGTTAATGAAGGCTATGCAAAGGGACTGAAGGAAGGAAAATATGGCCCGGAAGGGTACAGAGCTGTGTAGAAAACACCCAAGATGAAAAGTCAGCAGTAATCATGTAATGTAGAGATTTTTTTTTTTAAGATTTTATTTATTTATTTGACAGAGACACAGCGAGAGAGGGAACACAAGCAGGGGGGAGGGGAGAGGGAGAAGCAGGCTTCCCGCTGAGCAGGGAGCCCGATGCGGGGCTCGATCCCAGAACCCTGGGATCATGACCTGAGCCGAAGGCAGATGCTTAACGACTGAGCCACTCAGGTGCCCCTAAATGTAGACATTTTTAAAGCCACGAAAATTCTGTAAAGCTGAAAAAAAGACTAGGAAGTACTCAAACCCAAATTTCTGTTTTGTATGTTTGCCTCGGTCATGGTCCAATCCAGAGACGAGAGCTGTGCAGTAATTTGAACCAGGAAAGTTTAATATAAATCTAGTGGTAAAGCAAAATCTCAAGAATACCTAGCGCTGAAGGAGAAGACCCAGAAGGAGACAACAGTGGAAGAGGAGCTCCCTCCCCAAGACTAGGATTCTCAGCTCAT